CACTGGTCCTGAAGGGATCATCTGTCCTGGATTCCCTGTGTTTCTAGTTCCTATCTGTACCAGTGGGAAGTACAACTTCTTAATCAAAGGATCTGTAATGTCAGATATTTTAAGATGCTTCCAGGTTGACCTCTATAGAAATCGCATCATTTATACTTCTCAAAATCCAAGTGTGACAATGTTCATTTCCCTACATCCCTGACAATGCAACATTTTAAACCTTTTGATGTCTACCAATCTGTCACGTGCCAAATGACACTCCACTGTATTTAATTTCATTTCGTCTCATTATGAAATAAATTGACCTTCTTTTCATATGTTCACATTTTCCCAGGGATAAACAAATCACTTCTAAAATATTATTGTATATCAAAAATATTAGGGATAATGCTAGAACTCTGATATCAAAATATCTTGATGAAATGACACTTGGGAATAAAACCATTCTTGCTACCTACCCTTATTAAATAGTCCCTTTGAGTTGATTTTGAGTCACCCTGGAGGGGCAGGGTGTTCAGCACTGCACTATGAACTATTGGTCAGACTAGAGACTGTCTGGAGACTAGAACTGCCCTGTCCTCCTGCAGGAGGAAGACGACGCTGGTTGCTCTGGTAAGATGTACAGCCTGGGAAACCCTAGGAAGCAGTTCTCCTCAGTGCTGTAGGGAGGCTCTGAGTCAGCATCAACTTGACAGGAGTGGGTTTGGGTTGAGTAATTTCTAGCAACCAGCCCCACTGGTGGTTTTCATTCCCTTTGATGTTCCATGCTTGACCATTCATGCCATTCGGGGAGCCCTCGCTCGCATCTCCCTGAATGGAAAGTTGGCAGTGTGAGCACATCGGCCTCTCCGGAAGAGAGCTGTGACAGCCTGCTTCCAGGAAGGTTTGCAACCCCGGAAAGAAACGCTCTGGGAGAGTTCTCTTCTGCCCTGTCGGCTTGCTGTGGGTTGAAGCTGACTCCACAGTGGTGGGTTTGGGGTTTTGAAAGAGACAAGTCTTTGATACCACTGACAAGGGGCCCACCCATTCCTACCAAACCTCAAGGGGACAGACCACATTATATTTCATTTTTGACAGGATGATGCTAAGGGTGCGTGCATAAAGATTAAACATGAATCCACAATAAGATCCAGCTGATAACTAACACACCAGATCACACTCTGAGACTCACCCAAAAAACCACCCCAAAGCCACCTAATGATAAATTGCCCCCAAAATACATGGATCGCTCTTAGCCAGTTGTAAGTACCTAAATTCAGCACATTAGAAAAAGAAAATCAGTTATTTTGGTGTGTTCATCCCTACTGGGGATAAAGATAGACTTCTGAAATAAAAATATTTTAACCTAGCTTTTCCTGTAAGCGAAGCCATTCCTGTTTAGTTACTCTAGTTTGATTACCCGCTGAGTTAATGCCAGCACCCAGCCTGCTGGGTGACTGGATTCATTGCCCTGCATTTGGTGTGTTGGCCAGAATTCATCATTGAATACGAAGATTCCCTGCATGAAGCAGGACTGTGGCGCCACCACACTGCAGTTTCTGGAGTGCAGACCACAGCGCAGCTGAAACTCTCTCCTTACGTGAACTACTCCTTCCGAGTGACGGCGGTGAACAGCATCGGGACGAGCCAGCCCAGCGAGGCCTCCGAACAGTACCTGACTAAAGCAGCAGGTAATGCGAGGGCCACGGGCACGGAGTTAAACAACAGAGCTTGTCACCACTCACCAGCAGAAGCTTGCTCATGTGTGGCTGCTTACTTTCCAGAACCGGATAAAAATCCCACAACCGTGGAAGGCCTGGGATCAGAGCCTGATAATTTGGTGATTACCTGGCAGGTGAGCCATGAGGCCTTGAGCAACATATATTTTTAGAGTAAAAAGAAAGAAAAGTTGTTTTAAAACCATTTTCTGCCTTAAAACCCTACTCATTTTTGAATACTTAGGAAGGGGCTTCCAAAAATCCATGGAAAATGTCCATTATTGTTTCAGACCCTTTTCCACAGACCTTTGTGATGCCCCCATTGTAGTTCAGACGCAGGGATACTGTGGTGACTGGAATCTGGAACCGAGATGCGTGGCTGCGAGTCCTGGCTGTGCCGTCTAGTAATTGTGTGGCCTTACGCAAACGGTGTCACACCTAGAGCAGTGCCTGACCCGTATGGGTGCCCAACAGTCATCGCTGTCGAGAACCACCTGGAGAGTATGCACCCCACTATTCTCAACAGCCAGCTTGGCTTTGTTTGTTTTTTGTTGGTTTGCTTTGGCTTATTTGTATTTTCTGGATTTTGAGAATGAATATGTATATTCACATATGTGACTTAAAAAACCCTCCTTAAAGTACAGTCATCTAAACACATCTATACAAACTATATACATACACATGTGCATAAATGTGTATAAACAAGATAGAGTAACAGCCTGATCTCTCCTTTTTTTAAAATAAAGAAAGAAATCACAAAATGTATTCTCCACCTAAGAGTGCTACCACACGAGCAGGAGTGTGTGAGAACCACAGCAACAGCACTGTGGAAGTGCTTTAAGACTCACCCACCCTTGGTCAGGGAGCAGGAGTTTGAGAGACTCCTGTGGGATTTACTGCTTGATGTGATTTGCAACCTTGGACACACTGGTCCCAAACAAGCTCTGTCTCATCACAAATGGAGGGGGGTGGGGTGGGGAGGGCATAAAAGCTCGCCAAAAGAAGTTGTTAGTAGCTTGCACTTCAGTGCGCCGGGCTGACTTCCTTTGGGTCTGGGGACTGATTGCCTTTGCTGTGCCAATAAACGCCTGTGCAGTCTGGTGTTTCAGCTCTGCTTGACGTGTCTCGTAGCCCCTGAATGGTTTTGAATCTAACGGGCCGGGCCTTCAGTACAAAGTTAGCTGGCGCCAGAAAGACGGCGATGACGAGTGGACATCTGTGGTCGTGGCCAATGTATCCAAATATATTGTCTCGGGCACGCCAACCTTTGTTCCATACCTGGTCAAAGTCCAGGCCCTAAATGACGTGGGGTTTGCTCCAGAGCCAGCGGTCGTCCTGGGACATTCTGGAGAAGACCGTAAGTCACTTCGTGTATGCTTTGATGGAAAAAGCTGTTTGTTTTTACCAAAACAAACCTATGAAAGTGCATGGCAAGTTCATGAACAGAGGGACCGAGGTTAGGGGGGTGGGAGGGAGGGTGGCAATTACTTTCCTAAACATCTCTGAATTGAGGTAGCCAGCTGTGTCCACAGAGAGCGAGAGATCTAGAAAGTTAAAGGTGATTCCTTTTCAAAATCTCTTGCTCTCGTCAAATCCAACGAGCAGAGAGCCGGTCCTTGAAGACTGCTCTCGGTCCTTGAGACTCCTTAAGCTAGGGCTGAGGCCTGCTGTGAGCTGAAAGCTTTCGAGAGAGTGACATTGTGGCATGAAATGCGGAATAACATTGATACTTCTACCCCTTCCCTGTCCTTTCCCTTCAGTCCCGATGGTGGCTCCCGGCAATGTGCGAGTGAGCGTGGTGAACAGTACGTTGGCCGAGGTGCACTGGGACCCAGTCCCCCTGAAAAGCATCCGTGGGCACCTTCAAGGCTATCGGGCAAGTGGAATGACACCTCTGGTTCTGACCTCGGTAGCAGCATCGCCATAAGCCCACGGCATAGGTCCGCTTGGAAGAGGCCTCTGGGAGGTCCACTCACTTTCTAGCTTCTGGCTGACCGGAGGACCCCAATGTGGGTTGACTGAAAACCCCCAGAGCCTCCCCAGTTAGGCTGGGCAAAGCCTTCTCCCTCTTCCCCAAACACATCTGAGCATTCTCCCACCTCCAGATCTAGATGAGGGCAATTCATTTTAAAAGACTGACGCTTAACAAAATGGCCCTTTAAAGCAAGCTTGACCTCCTTGGTTGAGCTCACAGAATTCTCCTGGAAGTGGTTTCGACTTATTTAAATAGCTCAGATGCTCCTTCAAGACCCTGGGGTGCCATGCAGGTCGTTTCATGTGCATCAATGGTCTTTGTTCGTGAGAAGCACTCACGCCTGATCGGGGAGACTTTTGATGGGGAGCCACGGAGCCCTGTGCATGTGACCACACGTCACTACTTTGATCGGCTCTCCCTGACCCCTAGAGGTCAAGTTTTGAACGACAGCATGCTCAATTTTATTTTTCCCAGATTGCTAAAGTTCCTGTGTGGATGTTAGTGTCTCTTGTCTTTAAAATGTCTTTAAATTTCTAAGAATAATTGTAATGCATGTCATAAATAATTTTATGTTGGTAACCAGGATTAATAGGCTCACCTCTCCAAAAATTATACCAACAATCAATATAAAAACGACCATTTTCCAAAAAAAATTAGAATTTTCAAATAAGTGATTCAGTTTAGTCTGGTGGAAGAGACTGTGAACCAGGCATGGGGGGTCTTGACTGCTCTTTGGTCTCGGTCCCGAGCTGATCCACAAACCAACCCAACCCAAACCCAGGGCCATCCAGTCCGTTCTCCTAGAGACCCGAGAGGTGTCCAAGGCCACACATCTCTATGGGAGCAGCCAGTCTCGTCTTGCTCCTGAAGAGCATCAGGTGCACCTTGTAGTGAGCAGGCCCCTGTTTACCCGGCCTTGCCACCGAGACTGCTTAAGCCACATTATTAAAAGAGAAAAGAAAACTTCCATGGCCTTGGGGTAAATCTCAACTCAGAGGGACACTAAGACTGGGTAGGACTGTCCTGTGGGTTTCTGAGGCACTAAGTCTTTGCAGGAGCAAAATGCCTCGTCTTTCTTCTGAGGAGCAACTGTTGGGTTTGAACTACTGACCTTGTCGTTAGTTGCTCAAAGTGTAACCCACTGAGCCACCCAGACTTGCAATCCACACCATAGGTCATAATGTGGCCTCACTGTTGTTCAGTCAGGAACCCTGGTGGCATAGGAGGTTACATGTTGGGCTGCAAACCATAAGGTCAGCAGTTCAAGACCACTAGCCACTCCATGAGAGAAAGCCATAAGGCTTTCTACTCGCGTCAAGAATTACAGTCTTGATGGTAGAACTGCCTTTTCACTGCTGGCTAGGCCGGAGCATGTGCATATATACAGATAAGAGATAAGAGCTCACCACACACAGAATTTAGGAACGGGAATGGGATTAGCGATACCAGAAGGGTAGGGGGAAGGTGGGGAGAGGAGGAGAGGAAGGGGGAACCAATCCCAATGATTGACACACACACACACACACACACACACCAGGGGAATGAACAACAGAGCCTGTGGGGGAAGGGAGACAGCAGTCAGTGTAAGATATAAAAGTAATAATAATTTATAATTTATCAAGGGGTCACAAGGGGTGGGGGAGCGAAATGAGAGGAGCTGATACAACACTTTAATCTATTCTTATGCTCTAGAAAGAACTGTATGGATCTAACACCATTATGTTTCTTTGCTTAATCTATTCCAACAAAATTGTACAGCCCAACTTTATCGCAGATTCCTAACTTAATTATTTCTCATTATTTACCTAATCATTCTTGCCTCAGAATCAATATCCATCGATTTCTCTGGTCATTTTCTTCTAAAGTGCACTAAGGAATTGTCTGGTGGTGGGGGCAAAAGCGTCCAAACTTTAATTTTGTGAATATGAGGCCTTCCGTGTATTCCTTTGTATGGGACTGACTTTTATTGCTGACATTGCAGATTTACTACTGGAAGGCACAGAGTTTATCTAAAAGGAGCAAACGCCACCTTGAGAAAAAGATCCTGACTTTTCAAGGCAGCAAGACTCACGGCATGCTGCCCGGGCTGGAGCCTTTCAGCCACTACGCTCTGAATGTTCGCGTGGTCAACGGGAAAGGGGAGGGCCCAGCCAGCGTGGACAGAGTCTTCGACACCCCGGAAGGAGGTACAGCAGGGAGCACATGGCAGTGCCTGGGAGAGCTCTGCAGGGCGGGGAGCCTGGTGACCACAGCACACACACAGTGGCCAATGGACAGTTGCTCGAGCCTTGACGGGATACATGGAAGGTGTCAGAAGACAAAATACTGTCCTAGCAGTCCGTCGCCGTTGACTCAAAATTTTTTTCTCCGCATTGTCTGAAAGCAACTTGTGAGGCTTAGGTCTGAGCCTAGAGTAAGTGAAAGAATGGCTCATGCACCTGAAAGGCGTGAGAACTAGAGGCATATTTTCTGCAAGCAGCGCTTCTCTTCTCCGCCTCTTCTCAGAGTGGATTTGTGTTTATTCTGAAGCTGGGTTGGGTTCGAAGTTAGGATCAAACATGCAAAGTTGTCGAGGGAAGAGGAGGGGTCTGCGCCATCGAGCTTAAGGAGCGTGGGTGGGTAAGGCAGAGAGGGTGCCACATAGAAATGTTTGCCGTGGCGATTGTTCGGTGCCATCAGGTCAGTTCTGACTCACAGAGACACTCCCCACCCCGCCCCCAGTGGCAGAGAACAGCTGCCCTGGGGTTTCTATGCCGTATTCTATGCTGTATCCTCCCACGGAGCCACTGGGCGAGTTTGAACCACCCACCTTTAGGATAGCAGCCAAGCACTTACCCTTGCCCTCCCGGGGCTCCTGGTAAGAAAGATAGGAATTTGACAAGGTGCCAAGGTGGGCGTTTCCTCGTTTGAATTCAGTGTCGGCCCAGCCATGAGCATGAGCCAAGCAAGTTCAGTGATGCCTTCGATCTTGTTGATCATGCAGCTCGTAGGTAGCCGTAGCCGCATCCCCGGCCCTGGCTGTGCATGGTGGAAGTGCTTATTGTGCTGGCAGATACTCAACTGCCTGGGACAGTCATCCTGCGCCCAGACGCTCATCCCATTACAACTTCGTGTCCTTGGTGTCCCTGCCTCCGTAGAGTGTACGGGTTCCTTCTATTTAAGACTTTCACTAGTAAGACCCCCCACACTGTGCCTCTAGCTGGCCCAGGGGCAGATGTCTCAGAAGAGAAGATCAGGGTGTTAAAAGATTAGGGATGGAGGAAGTGAACTACTTGGAATACCTGAGGCGAGCAAGCTATAAAACAGCATGGCTTCTTCAGTGAACCTCAACCCACATAGCAGAAAATACTGAGAAATAGCTAATTAGGTTGAGCAGGGGGACAGATCATGAAAGGACTTTCATGATGTGGGTGTGAACCTGTTGGCTAAAACTCCAAATGAAACCCATTGCCACAAGTCGATTCTGACTCCTAGTGACCTTAGAGAACAGGGTAGAACAGCCCATGTGGGTATCCAAGACTGTGACTCTCTCTGAGAGTAGAAAGCCTCATCTTTCTCCCATGGGAGGGCTGGTGGTTTTGACCTGCTGACCTTGCAGTTAGCAGACCAACTGGTAACCACCATGCCACATGGGCTCCTGCCTACAGTGCAGGGGCTCTTCACCCAGACTCTTAACAACAGGCTTTCAGGAGGGCAATGAATGGGCTTCCAAATTTTTATGAAACTCCTTAAATTGTGTGAAGAATGTCTATTTTTTGGGGGGCGGGACTAGTTTGTGGATGTCATGAGATCCTCAAAGGGGGTTGTGACACCGCCCCCTCCCAAGTTAAGAGCCACTGCTGATTGGGTTGGAAAAGCTAAGGCGTCATTGAGTGCCAATTTTGTATCAAGCACTTCTGTAGGCCAAGGGCAAGGCTGTTGAGACTTGACATGGGGCAGGAGCAGAGAGGACAGAGAGATGAGGGGATAGATGTGGATGACGGTTGTTTCTTGGTCCCATCATGTCAGTCTCTTTTCTTAATGACCCCATGTGACACAGTAGTACTGCTACCAGGGTTTCATTGACTGTTCCTTTATGGAAGCAGATTTCTACAGCCCCTGGGTGGGTCTGAAGTGCCTGCCTTTGGGTTAATAGGTGAGTACTTACCGGTCCTACCACATATTGGCAGGAGGGTTAGCCAAAAAGAGAAAGGCCCTCAACCAGATGGATTGACAGGGTGGCTGCAACAATGGGCTCAAACAAAAGAACAATCGTGAGGAAGGTAAGGGACCAGGCGGTGTTCCGTTCTGTCATAAGAGGGTCACTATGAAAAAGAAAAAAAAATTTTAAAAAGAGGATCACTATGAGTGAGAACTGGCTTGAACAGCACCTAACGATAACAATGACAGAGTGTCCCAGGAAGTGGTAGAAATGCGATAAGAGAGAGAGTCAGGGGGAGTCCCTGTTTTCTGTCCAAGGGAATGGTGCTAATAACATTCTCAGGAATATGGTAGGTCACAGAGGGGAGGCAGATTCATGAGGGGGAGCTGCTGCCATCCATCTCCCCAAGGAAGTAAAGATCGGGCGCGTTTCCTCTGTAAGGTTTACAAGGTCTGCTATAGCGAACAGAGGCCCCAAGGCACTTTCCCCAACTCAGGAGTGGGTCAGCTTTGGGGCTTTGTCCCTTGCCGTGGACAGTTGTCAACTCTGAGAGTGAGAACAACGGGTGCACCTGGGCAGGCAGGCCCAAGTCCAAAGCCGAGTAGGCGGTGTGCTTTGACTGTTTGGGGATGCATGGTTTGTTGGGGGTGGGCGAGGAGGGGTGGACATTCTTAATGGCTCAAAACATAGCTGCATTCAAAGGTGTGGTCAAAAGAGTTTCCCTTAGTGACTTTTGCTTTACCTGTCGCCATCAGTGAAACGAGTCCTTCAAAATATGTTAGGATTCTGTAAAATAATATGGCCATCTGCCAAGCAGAGTCTTTATGTATTTGGGGAAGGTGGTTGGAATGAATCTAAATGAAAAAATAGAGGAAGAGATCAACGGAACGGGCCCTGGCACGGGTGTGCACTAAAGTAGTTTTGGCTGACTGGGGAATAACAACCACACACCTTGAGCCAGCCTGTGGGTAGGTGGGCTGTGTTCCTTTAGTCCATTAAAGAGCCCTTGCCAAGCTTGTGTTGACTGTGTGTTCCCATTACAGTCCCCAGTGCTCCGTCCTCCTTGAAGATTGTGAACCCCACACTGGACTCTCTCACTTTGGAATGGGATCCGCCGAGCCGCCCCAATGGTGTTTTGACTGAGTACACCCTGAAATACCAGCCAAGTAAGCTAATTAGGAGGAAGGGAAGAGAAATCGAAGATTTAAGAGGAGGGAGGGGGGGAACCTGTTATCACTAAAAAAACCCAAAACTATTGTCTTTGTTTCTGTGTGGTGTGTGTGTTCTTTAGCTTAACCTAGAGTGCATATGAAGCCCCGGTGGCATGCTAAGCTAGGTTGGGCTGTTAGGTGAGAGGCTTAAACCCACCAGCCACTCCAAGGGACAGAGACGAGGCTGTCTGCTCACAGAAAGATCGACAGCTTTGGAAACCAAGGGGGCAGTTCCAGTGTCTCGTCGCATCGCTAGGAGGTGGAATGGACACTCCATAGAAGTGGGCTAGAGTCTATGTGCATATATACAAGGGGGCTTTACAAAATTCATGGAAAGTATCCATTATCTTTCTAGGTCATCTTTCCACGAATTTTTTT